ATCCTCTCACCCACCATTTAGGACCTGTCCATGTCAACGAACTTGAGTCCCGGACCGGACCTTCCTGTGCAGCGCCCCCGCAACAAACGTGCACCCCGGATGTGACGCAGGATGTGACGAAGCGGCATAGTGGTTTCGCATGTGGGACATGAGCTCCACGTTTGAGATCTTCGACTTCACGGGGATGCTGAGCGGCATGCGCGCGGCAGCGGAGACGTTCTGTCCCAGCACGTACCTGCGGTGGAAGAAGATCGAATCATGGCTAAGCAGGTGGTTACCGTAATCCCCGACCCAATCCGGCTGAGCATGCGGCTTGCCGCACGTCGTGGGCGCCCAGAATTGCATGGAACAATGGCTTGTGAAACGGTTTTCAGCTTCTCTCTGAGAACTTCAAGCTGGGCCCGGCATGCTCGACTTCTCAAGCCCAGGTGCTTCTCGTAGGACTTCTCAAAGGAGGGATCCAAGGCCACTGACGAGAAGAAGGACCAGACCCTCGCGTCGCTCAGCCGCGCGCCAGTGAAGCTGATGGGATCATAGGCATCGGCGAAGCTGAACTCCTGAAACGAAACTCCACGCGGAGCTAAGGCGGAGCAAATGGAAAAAGGGTCATAGGATGTCATGGGCGCCTGTGCTATACTCTGTTGTGATGTTATTGAGTTCTACTGAGTCGACTGCAAGTGTCCTTCGACATTCGCAGTGACGAAGCTCGCAACTGTTGAGATGCACATGCAAGCAGCATCGCAAAGGTATTCACCATCGGGCTATCCCTACAACACTCAGCTCCAGCCCCGCGACAGGTCTCTGAAAGGTTAGGTCCTCCTGCGGTCGTTGAGCATCCCAGAGCCCCACTTTCACTGCAAAGCTGATGACCTGACCCCCCAAACATAGGGGCTGGAAAGGGATGGCCACCCTAGTCATCGCCCTTAGCTTGTGCTACTCCAACCTGCTCCATGTGCCTGCGCTTCTGGTAGCTGGAGGTCACCGACTTGGAAACTGCAAAAGGGAAGGTTAAATCATCAAGGGGGCTCTAAAACCTCAACACTTCCCTCATCCTTCGGTCTCTCTTCGGCCCGTTGCGCCGCCCTGAGGCACCCGGCATCTGAGGAGAACACGCAGTTCTCCGCGTCGTGCAAGGGGAAGCGCTGGATCCGCGCCTGGTTCGCATGGCCGCTCACGTGGCCATCGGGGATGCGCACGGCCACCCAGACAGCGCCCTTCTCGAACTTCCCCTTGCCGATCATCTCCAAGACCCACACCTGGAGGGCAGACTCGATCATTAAGACCCCCCATTGAAATCCAAATGGGGAGGCTTACTAATCAAGAGTCTGCATAACTCAAGCTGCGCTACAGTGGGGATGCTGGGGATGCTCGCTACAGTGGTTCAAACTTCGAAGGGTGACACGGTGCTCCACCTGTCGGGCCCCAAGCGGGTATCCTTCGATCTCGCCTTGCTCAAAAGGGACAAGAAACCACAGTCACAAGAGATGACAACAACAGTAATGCACACGTAGGATTAATCAACGGGGGCCCCCCCCACCCTTCAAGGTCAACAAGATCAACAAGGTCTGAGATTGGAGGTATTGGAAGACCACATCCCCTTAATAAAGATGATGACCTGATGATGAAAGGGAATTTGATTTGGAAGAATTGGAATGAAAGGGAATTAGTATTTGGAAGAATTGAGATGAAAGGGAGTTAGTATTTGGAAGAGTTGGGATGAAAGGGTTGGAAGAGTTGGAAACCACATGAGAACTTTTGGATGAGTGTTCATTTTAGATTGATCAATGGGTTGTTTTTCCAAGGGAGCTTTATGGGATAGGATGAGAACCAGGAAGATGAGGAGATGAAGATATTGAATACTAGCAAAAAAGAAAACAATGAAGAATTACAAATACAAAGTACACTATATTTTTTTCTGGGGCAGCTGGGATTGATTAATAGGGGGGGAGGTTTCTGCACAGGAAAAAACTATTAGGGTCATGCCAAGGTGGAAATCTAGGTGTTCAATTAGTTTAGCATTGGAGGGGTCGAGCTGGGATTGATTAATTTGGGGTGGTTACTTAATCCTATGTGCGCATTAACAAAAATATCTCTAGATCTCAGCAGTAGTTGGCTCCGTCCAACCCCTGCAATTCAGTCAGCACAGCTTGCAGCTGGGCCATCTTTCTGCGCCCATGACTCAACCTCCCCCTGCCCACCACTGACGAGAAGTCACCCCCAAACACATCTATATTCCAAAACAAAACAGCACCACCTCCTCATCCGGCCCCCCCTCCCTCCTGCGGAGCCCTCTGCGCTTTCACGGCGTCCCGCCCCCCTGGCGAACCCCTGCCTCCTTGGCATCTGCAATGGTAAAGGACTCGCCCTCAGAGACATAGCCGTACTCCTTCACCAGCCTCGGTTCGGCGCTGACCCTGGACCCGACCTGTCTCCCCCATGGGCTGATGGCCTTTTGCTCCCAAAGGTCTCATAAGACACTTGGAGTCCACTCCAGGTGTCTAGGCGTTTTATTACACCATCGAAAACACCACGATTCACTGGTTCAAGATGTTAAGATCTTGGGCAACTTCTTTGCAGAGGCCCCGGTGCACCAAGTTACACGGCAGGAAACCCTTCCCAGCTCCAAACAATCGCCGCCGAGGCGCTGGTCAAACATCAAGATCGCCTCTCGCGCCGTCTTACAGCGCTGTAGGGTCACCCAGATCAAGCTTCCATAATCCATCACCCCTTCACCTCCGCTCAACGTCTCCTCAGATTGCCACATGCCACACGGTGCCATAAAGCGTCAAGCCATGTGCCCTTGTCAGATGAATCTGCTCGCAGAATCCCATGAACATGGGGATCCATTAGCAAGGCCTCAAAAACACTGAACTTCGGTAGAGCCAGACATGACCTTTACAGCCAACTCCAACTTCTCAACTCTCACCAAAAAGGGCTCATGAAATTCTTTCACCCAAGCAGCGTTGCCACCAAAGGTGGTTTCCCCAATGGCCAGGCCATGTTCGTTGAGGTTCCCAATCACCTCAGAGATCTGGGCCCATCTGAAACCTCATGGACTCCAAGACCAAGAGTTGGAGAATCAAACAATCAAATCCTGCAAAAGAAGAGCCTAAGTCCATTAGTCACTGATCACTACCGAGGTCCAAATCAGGGGTCCTCTGGTCGCACTCGCCCTTCCCAGCCCAGTCCTCCAACGACCCGCGCACCGGTCCGCCCTGGTGCGGCCCACGGGGCGTTGTAGGTGTAGGGCGCCTCATCGATCTCGCCCAGGTACTTCCCCGAGTCCCAGTCCCAAACCGGCCGCTTGGCACCGGCGCTGTGCTGCCCGGCCGGGTAGTGCCCCAGAGTTCCATACCTGGGAGTGGCCGCGCACCTGCTGCATCCGCAAATGGATCCAGAAACCGCATCACGCTCCATCCGAGAGTGATAAACCGCATCCCATATCGTTCAGGAAGTATGTGTCTGTTTGGAGGCCACTATCCTCTGCTTCTAGTTGAACAAGTGTTGGAGGTCCGGTCTGGCTAGGTGTCTTTTTCTCAAGACTCGTGCCACCAGCCACGAGAAAATGCCACCTTCAGCAACTTCAGCACCTTTTGTCACCAGTGGAGATATGATGAGATATGGAGGTTCCATGACGTTCCCAGGCCTCAAAAGCCGAGCTGCACACTTCCAGAATCTGCCGTGTAAGAGAACAGAGTGGAGCCATCTGCAGACCTCAGAGACTTCTCCGCTCCGCTCCGCTTGGACATCGCGCCCAGGACGGTCCGCAGGGGGTTCGGCGGTTCGGCGGCGGCGAGCCACCCAAAACGAAGCTAAGCTAGTCAAAACTAACTCAAGGTGCCTGGCTAGGTGTCATAACTAAGCTCAAGGTGTCGTTCTGACTGCGCTAAGCTAGTCAAGCCCTTAGCTTCGCAACGCCAACTCAAGCAGCTTAGCATGCTACCATGCTACCTTTCGTGACCACCGGGCCGCCACCAACTCGCTCCAAGAATCCCGTGAGCCGTTCCGATCCGCACCACTGGTGAGGCAAACTCATCCACCGCAGCGAGTCACTGGTCGTTGCATCAACCGGCTACGGCACAGCTCATGTTGACTGATTAACCCCCCCCAATAAACACGGATTGCAACACCTCTGAAGAGAGGGGGGGGTGGAAAAATGGTTGAAATAGAATCCAGACGACTCCACCATCGTCTACATTCCCCCCACCGCTGTCCTCGGGACCCGGGCGCGCCCGGCGAGACGATGAGATTGGTGCAGCTCTCCGTGAAGCTGAGGCGAGCTGCTCGGCGAAGGGGATGAGGAAAAATGAGCACCCCCATGGCCCCCCCCCAACAAAGAGAACCGAACAATTCCAAACATGATGTCATACCACTTCGTACCACTTCATGTTTGAGTTTCCCTGGAGTCGTGGCGAGTTGCGCTTTTGAAAGGTCTTTAGCCTCAAGCATCCACCAAATCAACACACCTTTGAACTACCACTCCCCAGCTCCGCCCTGCTCTTGCCTCACCAGGCCAGCAATGGCCCAGCAGCGCAAGGCCATTCGGAAGATCGATCGCTCGCGGGTGGAGACGTGGGCGAATGGCCAGGTGATCGGCGCCAGCTGGGCCAGAACTTGGAAACGACTCCGAAGCTTAGCACTGCCCCGCCCACTTTTGGCCTTCCACAGCTGGGTGCCACGAAGGTCCTCCGGTGAATCCTATGTGGAGCACTACCCATGGTGGAAGGAACATGAGACTCGTAAGACCACCTGCATCGTGGGCCACAGCAACGGAAGCCCGCACAAAGCTCCCTACTGCATGTTTGAACTTCGCTTGTTGCTTCGCATCGGCTCTACATGCCCAAAGGAACCCCAAACAAACCCCAAAGGAACCCCAAAGGATCCAAAAAACAAAACGACCCAAACAGGAACAGGGTCGAGCTCATAGAGGTCCCCCATGGTCCGCCATGGCCCCCTCGCATTCACCAAAGGAAGCATCCCACTCAGTTGGGAGGGCGCACCAAGTACAAGTGGAGCCATCAGGTTGCCGGCTCTTCCCAGGGGCGAGTTGCGGCTCCACCTGAAGGAACGGGCATTCGGAACAGGATGCCTCCCGAGGCATCGGAGGGTCCACCTGTGGTGGACACCACGACTTGGCCGGGCACCTGAAGGCGGCCGGGCGGGGGCCGAAGTGGCTGAGGAGTGAAAAAAGGGAGGGAAAAAGGAAGGAACGTCACGTTCGACGGGGTGCGATCCATGGAGGTTAAGGGTGCCCAAGGTCACATCCACTCACTGGATGGGACGAGCCACACCACCCCGTCTGGTGACTCCTGGAAAAAAGGATGGTGTCTGAGGACGTTCAGCCAAACAAAACACGTCAAGTGGTTGCTTTGAGGGGGGGCGGGTTGCTTCGGAGAGCGGTGGTACCTGCATTGGTTTCCGGGCCCTGCAGGCCTGCCACATGCAGACCGACAAGCACTTCCTCAGCGTAGCGCTGGTCACAGCCGGTTGACTGCTAACTAGTGACTAATGTCCCCTCCACTTGCCATGTCGGGAAAGGTCTCCAAGAGAATCTACTTTCTGAAAGAAGGAGCTCTTCTGCTCGGTACGTGATCGAGTTCGGCATCGAATTCACTCTCCAAGGTGCAGGAGCACATGTTTTTGCAGACCCCCACCTTAACATCTCTCCATGTCTCCCCCCACGAAAGGACAGTCTTCGGAGCGACGCTCCGGATCCTTCGGCGGCCCCACTTGGCGTGCGTCACGCTGACGGCGGCCTTGCCGTTCTCGTAGGAAATGAACCTCAGCCACTTGGTCGCGGCCGGTGGGAGAGGCCGGAGGTTCTCACACCATGGATGTGCACCTTAGGGAGACACCCGATCGCCGGCTGGTCATGACAGGTCTATTTGTCCGAACCGAACCCAGGAAGGCGTATCCCCATAGGTGAGATGTGATGGAGCAGACGCACCACGATGGAAACCAGACGCAAACGGACGCAAACCGTTTTACCTCGGTCAGGTGGCGGGCCAGAAGCAATCGTTCCGCTCCCACCGACAGGGCGCAACGCTCTTTTGGGGGCCATCCGGGGCCCGGACCAGCCGCCCAGCCTCAACCTCAGGGAGCAGCCCGAACGGAACGCCCAAGGATTCAGAGACTGAAGGGTAAGACTGCAAACAGATTCCTAGCCAATATGGCAACATCGCCTAGTCTCATGGGCTGGTGACACCCAACAAGAATCACTCTGCCACACTCTGCCTGGGGTATTGGGCAGCCATTGGGGCCATCAAAACACATCAACATCATCAATCTCGGGTAGGCTCCACGTGGGTAGGCTCCAGCCTCAACGACCCATGGTCACTGGCATCACTTTTCATTTTTCCCGCTTTTCACTTCATTTGTAGATCTTGCCCTCGACCACATTCACTCCGCCTTTGTACTGCAGGTCCTTCTGTCTTCCTGCTGCCAAGCGGGCCTCGAGGGTGCCAGGCTTGCGTCCAGTAATGCGCACGCCACCCAGGTTCCCCTCAAAGAGTTCCATGACCACCTTGTAAAACTTCAACCTGGAGTTGAAGATCTCTTCCCCATGCGTCCGAACGGTCTCTTCCTTGGACTCAGCATAGAGATCATGACGAGCCTTCGTCCACTTCTGCCACTGCTCGCTCAAATCAACCACCTGAATGTCGACAAAGCCCGCCTGTTGCAGGGCCAGCACATACTCTTCAGGCGTGGTGACCGTGGGTGCGAACACCACATTCAAGAGTCCATCTCTTTCATGCTCCGAGAAGGAACGCCCTGGCTTCGCGGCGAAATCCTCGATCAAAAAGGTGCCACCTGGCTTGGTGGCCTCGAAGCAGGCTTTCAGCAAGGCCGCCCGGTCTGAGATGTGCAGAAAAACCAAGAGCGACAAGAAGTGGTCAAAACTCTCTGCTGGAATCTCCTTTTTCTTGGACAATTCAATGATATCTCCGATCTTGAACTTCACTTTCCCCACAAGTTCAGGCACTCGTTCTGTGAGTTTCTCTCCGGCGGTGCAGATATCCGCCTGCAGCTCTATCCCAGTAATCCGGCACCCGGTCTTACTAGCAATATACCTGCTAGGTCCTCCAATGCCTGAACCCACGTCCAAGCAATGAACGGTCTCATCAATGCCCAGGAGCTCGATGACATGGTCATTGGCCTCGATCCCACCGTAGTGATACTGATCCAAGTGTCCCAAGGCTGTGAGGTCTGACACGTTCAGTGGGCCCGTCTCCTTGCCCATCCTCTTCAAGGCATTCCTTGACTGGTGGAATGCACACACCTACTCAGCTACTCACCTGTACACATAAAATGTGTAGAAACTCTTCTTCTAAAGGGCATCAGGAATTGCAAGACCCAGAACCGGTCACTTGATGTCACTTGGTGACTCAAAACGGTGGTTCGACAAACAAGTTTTTTCACTCTGAGCTGCTCCACCGCCGCCACTCGCCAATTGTACATGGCCTCCGTGAGGTTCCCCCGATCCGTCGCCAAGCCCCGCGCGGCGTTGCTCATGCCACGCCACGCGGCGTTCCGCGCGCCCGGGCCGCCCGTCCCCAGGAGACGCCGAGCGACGCGGCGAGCGCCTGTGCGCGCGCCAAGCGACGCGGCAAGCGCACGCATGGCGAGCTGAGCGGGCGTCGCCTTGAGTCCAAGATCTGGGCAAGTCAAGAAAGTGTCTGACTCCTGGCAGCCTGGTGGTCAGAAGACGCTCCCAAAAAGAACGGTGAGAAGAGGTGATATCCTCAGATGAGGCTCAACCTTCGGTTTTCATGAACCAATCCAGGCAAACGGCGCAGCTACTACCTCTCTCAGCTCGGCCACCCCACTGCCACTGGAAGAATGCCCGTCCTTCGCACAAGCTTGAAGAAACCGGACAAAATCTGAGTGATCCCTTTGGACCACTCCTCCTTCGCCTCTGGCAACGCCGAAACCCGCCGCAAACCGACCTCGAGACCTCCAATATCAACGGCCCGGGGCCGGTCGACGGCCCCCCGTCCCGGCGGAGGCTCCTGCGGGGGGATTCCGGGGGACCCAGCCCATGTTTTGTCGAAAGAGTCGCACCTCGGGTCGCGAGGCGTCAAGGCGTGAAGGCGAAGGGTTTTTTGGGTGGTGCGAAGTCCGCTCAAAGACTTCAAACATCGTCCTTTCTAAGAGAGACCAATCTGGTGAGGTGTGAGAGTTAGAGGAATTCCAGACGTTTTCTTTGGAAAAGGCTTCAAGAAACTGCAAGAAAACTGCACTAGTAATATTAGCACCACCACCTCGTCCTCTACACTCTAGTTCAATCTATTTCATATGGCCTGCCCTCACTTTGGCCGCTCAGCCTGGATAGAAGCCCATTGTTACCGTATCAAGCTGATGATATGCTATTGATAGGATCCCCGAGTAGGAAGCATGTCCAAGAAGCTGTTTCGTGTGGATTTGCACTTCACGTGTCATCTGTCTACCTGATTGCCAACACTCGCCAAGACCATGAAGAGACTCCGCAAGACTCCGCTGCTTGGATTTGCTTGATTTGCTTGACCAACCAACCAACAAGAAACTAAAGAGATCTCCCCCGACAAAGGGAGTCACTCTGGGAAACTCCAAAGGGTGTGTACTAAAATAGACCCTCCCAGCGCCCTCCGCCGCCCTCTCCAAATTCCGGTTCGGGAACTAGACCAGTCTATCCAGACAGGGCCAGGAAGTGGCTCCCTTTGTCCAACATATGCACCGAAAAAAAAATAAATATGGAAACGTCCCAGATCCGACGGAGAAAGAAGAAACGGAGAACCGCCGTGGGTTCCCAGCTCCGGCCGAAAAACGCGGCGCACACGCGGTCGCGGAAGCGGCGAGACGGAGACGCCGCTCGGTTCCCCCCACGCTTTGGAGCACGTCCGTGGAGTCGGCCGTTTCCGGCACACCTTCGACCTGGAGGAGGGTGCGCGGTAGATCCCAGGAGGCACCTCCCAACCCTGGGATTGGTTCATGGTGATTTCATGGTCATGAAAAAGAGTCCAGTCATAGTCATTTAGGGACTTAAGACCATTTTGATTTGAATGGTCATGTTCATAGTCTTTACCCAGCAGGCCCACTGTTTGACCCAGGAGCTTCCAGGCCTACCCAAACCATGCGCCTCGGCCACCGCGCTGCCGGCACGGCCCTCCAAGTTCGACCCCGTTGAGTTGGACCAACCGGTCAGCCCCATCGATCAGCCCGATCAGCCCGTCTGCCCCGTCATCTGCGCGCACTGGTCAGCCGCTCGTTTTCGGCGTCCGCACATTGCAGAAGGTGTACCTCACGGGTCTCGTTGGTGCCGGCCGGTCCAAGGGGGCAATGGGTTTTAACACCAGACCCCCCTCATGTGACAAGTGAGGCCCAGTTGGCAAGTCCAATTCCAGGAACTTGGGATATTTCACATATGTTTGCTATGGTTGGTGGTGCTTATGGCGGATGTCGCATCAAAAAGAACATGGCCCACTTCAAATGCACAGGCCCAAGTCACCAGTTGAGGCATGAAATCGCCCACTCTCTCGGGTACCTGTATGTGAAAGAACCTTAATGCGACTGTTACACAACCCTCTCCACCCTGCGAATGGTTTTCCATGGTAAAACACATCTCCGGGCCTGGGTGGGCGTTGTGAATCAACACCAAGAATCTTAATGTAGGCTCTTGATTAGTAAAATCCCCGCAGGAAGAGGTCTTACAATCCAAATAGAGGTGAGTTATTGATCAAGGGTCTACCTTACGGTCTTCAGGCGCACAGCCTCTTCACTTTCGATGGACGAAGGATGTCACCCCCACCCCAGCGCTGAGCTTGGGACATCGTGCAGCCTGCGACGAACTGGGTGTTCCGCGACTCAACGACCGCGCTCGAAAGGCGTCAGCGACTCTGTGGTGCGACAGGTGTTGCCGGGGGTCCACTTGGATTCAAGTGGACTCCATCTGGGAAAAAGGCAAGGACTAACCGACTAACCTTCTTACTAGTAACTAAGAAGCAAAACTAGGGGGCTCCTGGCCTTACTAGGAGCATTCTTACTACTAGTAACAAGAGTTCTCAGAAGCGTTCGTGGCCTCATGGCCTCATGGCGATCTCGCCTCGCGCCGTGAGACGCCCAAAGAAGCGGGGCGCCGGCTCGGGAAGGCACAGCCTGGGGTTCTTCGGATGGCTGGACCGAGCCCAGGGGGGGGAGAGACCGCCACACCCGGGCCCAGTGGATAGAATGGGACTCATAAACACCAAGACATGGATACAAACGGTCCTATGAAGCTTGGCACACTTAGGTTTTGAATCATGGTAGAGTAAACAGAGTGACGACTCCAATCCACAACGGCTGTGGGGTGCAGAACACACCACCGACTTGAAGTCGATGGTCCCAGCGCAACATGATGGTCCCACCACACGCAACGGCGCAACGGCTCGGCTCGGCTACTCCATCTTTGGCAGTTCCAACAGCGGAATCAGCGAAACTTCCGGCCCTTGAAACCGTTGGAGTCCAGACTTGTGCTGTTGGACTTCTACGGTCACCCGAAGTCACGTCAGGCTTGGAGCTTGGAGCCAAGTCGACTCCGCGCTGAGCGCGAGAGGCACGACAGGTGAGGATCATGGGGGTTGGTTGCTGGGGTATAGATACAAGCATGTGTTTCCCAAAACATCGCATAGGAGCTATCATAAATATAGGTATGTCATCGTTTTCCCAAAATGATTCGATACATTGCATCCACTTTCAGGCACTTCGCACAGAAGAACCCATGGCCACACGTCTTTTTCGGGGGCCGGGTTGCAGCAAAGTGACCAGTGACCCGAACCTGACCTCCACGCCAAAATTGCAGAAATGCAAGGGGCACCACATGGCACTGGTGAACTCGGCATGACTTGGACCGCCGGGACGTGCACCAACACAGCCCATCTGAATTCCAGGGCCACATCAGCACATCCACGGAAGGTCCACGCATCTCCTTCTTCTACGGATGTTGACACGCAAAAAAGGTGAGATGCGGTGCGATCAGCTGTTGCCGGGCGGGAGAACCGTGGGCACACCGTTTCTCAGCATGTACCTGTACCTCACTCTGCCTATTGACCGGTCTCTGTCTGAGATGCCTATTTCTGGTGGAAAGGGGGCGTGCATTGCCGAAACTTGTCCAGAAACCCTCTCAGTTCTCACCCGCTGTGTACTACTATCACCAGGCCGGGTTTTGGGCAAGCCACTGCCGGGGGCAGTGTGGCTCATTGAGCAGTTTTCATCCTTAAGATTCCGCTCTTTGAGCACGCTTGTGGAGCGCCTTACACACTCACCTCCTTTGGAGCTACTGGTGTGGAGCGCTTGCATGGCAAACAACTGCCCGTGGTCGCTTTGCGGAAGCTCATCAGCAACACGTTCAAGCCCTGCAGTCGGAAGAAAACCATCAGGCAGAGCCTCGGTCAGGCTTGGAAAGCCCCTGCAGCGCTGCTGAACCGGGAAAAAAACCCTCAAGTTTCCAGGATGAAGTCGATATCGACCAGAATCACCCGCACGGCAAGCTGGTAAAGCAACCGCTGTCACTAGTTCTCGGTGCTTGTGATGCAACGTTGATTTGTTTGATGGGGGATTCTTCTAGTGCTCGGGTCACATCATTCATCTTCCATTGCCTTCCCCAGAATGCTAGCCGTCTATCCTAGACAAAATGGAAAAAAAACACTGGTTGGGTATGGTTGGGTGGTCCCAAAGTCTTGAGACACCACCCAGGAGCAAGGCAATGAAGTTGTAGAAGATGGTATCCTGTGCCGAGGGGCGATGCCGCGTCCTACCCTCGGACCACCTTGCTCGGGGCCCTGGTGGCACGAGCAAGACACAAGCGTAACAAGCACAACTCGTTGATGAGAAGAAGAGTTGCATCCAACACCTGGGTGCTCTTCCAGGACAAGAGCTGTGCCGGGTCGGCAACCAGTTCAGACTGACGGAGCTGGGCCAGGTCCGAGCTCAAGAAGAGCGATGAGTCCGACGTCTCTCGCGGCGCGCGGCGCACAGAAACATACACCCACCATGCATGGTCCCCGTCGGTTTGTCAGAACTCCATGATCCTTCTGTCCAGACGACCCGTCCAAATTGGCGTGGTCTTCGTGTCGGGATCCAAAAACACCACCCAAGCTAACAAAGACATGCAAAACACCTTTTGAACGGAGCATTCCTGGAACATTTCTGTTGGGGAGCAGAACGTCCTTGTATTCGCCCCCACCCACCTACCCCTTCTTGCCCATTCGGCGAAGCTGTCCTCATGGGTGTCGCCAATGGGCCAAATCTCGTCCATGCCCAAGGTGACCAACGCATCGTCGCAGGAGAGAACCGGGCAAATCCCCCCGGCACCCATCATCTCCTCCGTGGTGGAGGCCCAAGCTGTGGCCAATCAAAGGCTCGGGGTCATGTGGACTGTCAGGCAATCTGCCACAGGGATAGGCTTTTGGAGGACCACAATGGTGATGCCATGATGGGTGGGGTTATAGTTTCAGAAAACGACGTTATGCGGGTGTGGCTTTTACGCGTTTTTGTGATGTGTGGCTTTCTGTGTTTTTTTGAAAATGTTAGTTGTTTTGAAGAACGTGTCTAGCAAACATGTTGACTTCTAATGTGTCAAATGTTTCATCAATCTTATTCAATCATACTAGTTCTCATGATTCCCACACAGAAGTCCATCAACCAGCATCTATCAGCAACTCCACGACATCCCATCATACATCACCAGGTCATCACCTCTATGAGGGAGATCTGGTCTCCAAGACCTCCAATCTCAATGAGTTCTCAATCTCCAGCAACTGGGACCTGGGCCTGGGCTTCTCAGGGGCGGGGGGCGAAAAGTAGGATGTGAACTCCCAATGCTCGCAGAGTGGTTCCCTATGACCTTGAGAATGAGGATGAGGCTTATTACGGGTATGGGCGTCAAGAAGGCCATGCAAAGCCCAATTCCAATCAGTCATCCAGGCCCAGTACTACTAAGCAAGTTTCTCAACTTTTGTTGGGCCTGGTGGGCACATTGTGTTTCAAAATAATGATCTTCTCTCCGTTTCATAAAGAATGTGGAGGGAGAAGCCCATTTCATAAAGAATGTGGAGGGAGAAGCCCAAAAAGTGCTACCTTTGCAACAATGAGAATGCTTATGGGCAAGGAAGGGTAGAGTCGGATCCAGAGGTTGCTTTAAACAAATAAAAGTTGGTTTGTTTGGGAAACAGGAGCACAAGAACATATCTAGACCGCAACCGTGGAAACTCTTTCAAAACATGACAAAATCTAAGAAAAACACAACAAAAACGCGTAAAAACCACACCCGCATAACGTCGAGCTCTCTTTAATTTCGGCATTGGAATCCGAGAATGCATCAATGAGGACTTCATGAAGCTTCTAACGAATGATCTAGAAAGCGCATCTTGAACAATCGAACATGGACTTGACCGAAGTCCATCACGTTCACATGGTGACTTCTGCATCCTACTTGATGACGCAAATGCTGACAGGCATCATGCGCCGTGCAGCAGAAGTCACAGGGTGAGCTATCACACAGGTCGGCCGATGCATTTCGCCACACCAGCGGACTGCAGGCATCCTGCGGGCAGTCCGCTAACGGGGGCCACGGCGAGGATGTGATGACAAGGCGTCTGGCACTTCGGTCTGCTCGTGTGATTTAGCCAAGGTTGGAAAAGTAGCATGCTTTTGACCAGCTGGGTTGGCAAATGTACCTCCACCTCCCCCATCCAGGCCTTGGTCGTGCAGCTGAACTCATTCACCACGGTCGCCTGCACCGCATAGCGGGCCACCATCAAGTAGCTGATCGCGTTGAAGGGCTGGGGCAAGTCTTCCACCTGCGCGATATGCACCACGTACGAGAAGGCAAACTGCCACAACCGCTCAACTCACAAGACTTGCCACCCCCCACCCTGCTAATTAATTCACTAAAAGCCACAGATGGAATCTGAACCGTGTTCAACCTTCATTGCTCCCCCTCACCTTGATGAAGATCCCCGCCAGCAACAACTGAGGCATCACCAGCCCCGGCGCGATGGACAGCGCCAGGTTCACGCTGGGCACCGCCGCGCTCACGGCGAAGCCCACCGCAGCGCCGCAGTTGGAGACCACGGCCATGATGGTGTAGAACCACAAGATCCGATCTGCACTCTCACCATTCAAGCCTCAGAAATAGGGCAGAAATAGGGCAGGATGGCCCAACTTGTTTGGGGATTGAAAGGGCTTGGGTGGGTGCAAGGTGTATAAAAAGGTTGGTTTAGGATGGTTTAGGCTGAAGCGTTTTGAAGGAGTGGTGCGATGGTGATGGAGCCTCACCTGCCACCCTTCCCACGGCTGTGTCCGTTTCGCACCCTTCTTCCCAAAGTCTCGTGACCGATGAGCGGATAGCTGATGGCAACCACCAGGATCGGAAAGAGGCACTGCATAATAGTGTCAATCGAGACCTTGGCGAAATAGAACATCGCCGGATGGTAGAGCTTGTCCTGCGTCTCCCGAAGGAAGACCGCACGCTCGGCCGGAAAGGCATTCACCACGCCCAACATGGCAAAGAGGAACTGGGCAAAGACCAGAAGAAAGCTGGAGAAGAGCCGCGGCTGAAGGCTGGACATGTTCCTTTCCAATTGCAAGAAGATCAAGCCAATGAGGACGGAGGAGGCCACCGATTGCACCGCACGCACCACCGTCAAAGCCTGGCACACCACCGGAAACGGGAAACGAGCGATCGGCCCAGGTTACAGGAGAGTTGCCATATGTTTCCTGGGCCATGGATGCCCAATCAACGATCCTCTGGAGGGCGAAAAACATGCAAAAAGCAAGAGTGTCCATTGTTCCACTGGCTGCCTCTCAGCTCCCCAGCTCCGGCCCCGGTCCGCTCGGCGCTTCTCCGCCCGGCCTTGTTGCGCTTCACGTTGACCAGCTCCCGCTTGAAGAGCGTCACCAGCTGCCCACAGGGCCCCGCGCGCTTCACCGGAGCCTCCGACTTGGTGGGGGAGCCATGGTCGCCCTTCGCCTCGCACAGCGTCGAGGAACGCCCCACGCAGCGACTGCGCGCAGTGATTGCGCTGCGCGCGTCGCGTCGCTGTCAGCAGCGACGCTGCACCGAGGATGGGGAGGTCATGTGCGGTGTTGAAGATGGTGACTGTAGCACGGATACATGTAATGTAGTAATGTATGTGCTACCTTTCTCTGTATATAGATATATGTATATATATATACACACACACACAACGAACGCATGCCGAAAGCATGACCCACATGGGTCTGCATCAAAATAACAAAATAACAAAGCACAATGACCTCATCATTTTTGATGCGCACACTCCTTTTACCTAAAAGTGCCAACTGACTGTGTCGGACATCTGCTTGAGCTTCTCCAGCTTGTTCCGGTAGCTTGAGATCTCCTCCTCCTCCTTGGGGACCTCCAGCACGTCCAAGAGTAGCTCAGGGAGCGGGGTTCCCGTGGGGCAAGCGAAGCCCAAAGAGCTCAAGGAGGAGCGAAGACTTGCGACGGGGCCTGGGAATGCAAGCCAAACCCGTGCCGGCGGAGGGCTGAGGGCTGAGGCTTCGTGCTCGCGGAGGCTCCAAAGAGTTCAGGCCGTGAATTCGGTAAGAAAACACTCTGTCATCTTAGCACCTCTGGCCCAAGTCTAGCGTCT